GTCCGGTCAGCCGCGGGCTCGCGTGGAAACCTCCCGCCGGGCGCCTCGCAGCCCCGCGCCCTCCGCTCCTTCCCGGGGTCGGGGCAGCGCGCAGTGTAGGGCTTCGGCACAGCCGCCCCCCCGCGCACCCCGACGGCGAGCGCCTCAGAGGGCCCCAAGGGCGGCTGGCGCCCAGGGGGCGCGGGGAATCACCTCGCTACAGGACACGTCTGGCACAGGGACACCGTCCTGTGGGCCGTCCTGCTTAAAAGCGCGATCGTACTATGGTTGCCCCCGCGAACCAGACACCCAGTAATTGTATGAACACTGGATCCCCACCCTCGCCTACAGGGAACTCAAAAACAAGCCGTCTCCAGCATCTCCAACACATCCAGATTCTATATTTACAGAATTGAAATTGACTTAAAGTCTTGAAACTTCCCAGACCACTGACTCTGATGCATCTCACTTGCTGCGTAACAGATAATCTCGTGCAATTTTTCATCTCCTGACCTAAGGTCAGACGTAGAACAAAAATCTGCTTTTTAGGTTTGCTTATCTTTGGTGGTGGTGGTGGTTTCTCCCTATCCTTCAATTCACTAACACTCAAATGCCGCTGAACCCAAATCGGTGAGCAAGTCCGTGTTTTTGGCAACAAAAGGAGAGAGCATGCATTACACCTGTCCCTTGCTCTGGAGCTGTTTCTGAGCAGAAACACTCATCCTGCCTAAACCTGAGAGCTCACCCCCCCTCCCTCCTCTGTTTCATTTTAAAGCTTCCTCTGCTTCATTGCAAAGTAAAGCTACAATTATTCCTGCAAATAGTGAAATTGTCCATTTTTTTGGACAGGTATATCAAATAAATGCTAAAATATCCAGTTATAAACACTTGTAAGACTTCTGAACTGTACCATCTGGCTTAATTTGGTGTCTACACTAGAGTGTAGAACTCGCCAGATGGATCAGTTTGAGAGCAAAATTCAATTGAACAGCAAACCTGGAAGGCATAATGAATTTCTGCTAATGTCAGCATTGTCAGATCTAGGTTATAAATTTAAAAATACAAGTAGAATTTATAAGCATACAATTTTCCTTCTCACATTTTAACAAGAAACAGAAGAAATTCTGAGGAAAAAATGTGCCAAAATGTCAATTTTTACCTTTTCATAGAAACAGAGTTCTTTTTAGAGTTTAAGCTTAACCCAGAAAAGGTTCTGCTTAAACAACTTATCAGTTCACTACAGTTTGAAACTTTCAGACTTTTTCTGCAGACGGTAACAAAATAACTCTCTCATCTCACATTGAGGCCTCGTCTATACAGGCACGTTGAATTTTACGGAAGCTATTAGCACTGCTGAGTTCGAGGGGATTGAGTACTACCTAAACATGCGTTTGTGGGTTTGAGATCCCTATCTTTCTTTACTATGATAAATACTCAAAAAATATTTTCTTCTCACTTCAAAGACATGCTAGAACTTCCATCATTAAAGCTAGGTGGTGCCTCAGCAAAGTTAACAAAACCCTGTTTTTTCTCTAATAAGCTACAGGGAACTGAACAGTCTCCTAAAACACCTTAATGTTTGTTAATTACTATTTTCTGTGGTTAAGTTTAGGATCGATACAGAATCTTTGTGAATGTTTTTAAACACACTCTTCTGTTTTCAAAGCTAGGTAACATACCTGGCTGCTGCTTCTTTCTTCCCATCTTCTAGTGTTCTCCAATGAATATGATCTCCAAAACCTGCCAGACAGAAGGGTTTATAAATGCTGCATAATTTAACATGTCAACTAACAGATGAAAACAGTCCAACCCTTAAGACTATTTTCAACTCATTTTATAGTCTTTTTTTTTTAAAGCAAACTATAATCCCTGTCCTGGAAAGACTTCTGCAAATACTTACAACCTACATCATCTCATGAGGAATCCCACTGAAATTAATTAACAAAAACATACCGCACTCATGAATATTTATCTATATATGCAAATGACACCAAAATCCCCCAAACAGAGATTAAAATTGAAGAGCCTTCTCATTATTCCCCATTCTTTTTTCAATCTGTGAACACTTATTAACTCATTAGTGACAAATTAGACATGTCAGCATTTGGCTTCCTAAATCCCAGTGAATGTGGGATTCGCAAAACTTAAAAATTCCTAGGCCAGCATACGATCATTAATTGCCCTAAAACTATTATGCTGAGTATTACTGCTGATGATAATTATCATCGAAGAGTAAGAAAGAACACCACTACACAGGTTTCTGAATGTTACAGTGACTGAACAATGCAGGAAATGTTTTATCCCATACCCAGATAACAAGCCTTGTTATGTCAGTTGAGATAAGAGTGAGCAAGCGTACGTTTAACAACTGCAAAGCACAGGCTGACTTTTTTTTTTTGACTCTGTAGCCAACTCAGCACTACCCTCACATGGCTGAAAGCCATGCGGAGAGCTGACATGAAGGAGATCCGGGAACTGTTCGTAGGGGAACTCCCTTGGAAGACCTCCTCAGAGGTCTCATCGTTCCAGTAATGCAGGGCTCTGCTAGATGACCAAACATCAGCCTCGGCTTGCCCCTTCCCAGTGCTGAGGGTTTGGATTAGTTAGCAACCCCCAGTGGCCAGGGTGCTGAGGCGGGCAGATTTCAGGAGCTACACTGGGGTTGGGAGCTACACAGGGGTCAGGAGCCACAGGCTGTCCAGTGCTGACACAGGGGAAAGTGGACATTGTCTCCAGTAGACAACTATGGCAAAGAAGCTGGAGAAAGCCAAGAACAGGGTCAGCAAAACCTCGTGGCACCCTAGTTCAGCATCCGAGAGGTTTGAACAGTTGGCACAGTATTTTTATTACCTTATCTTCTCTCCTAATATGAACAACTGTGAACATACATGACGCAACACATCAAATATTTAGTTGTGCTAGCAGTAAGGTGGGGATGCCTTGTCCATGTCCAATCACACACACGTATCAGCTGCGGAGGCAGCTTCAGACGCAAGGCTACGTTTGTACCAGCTGAACGTAGCAGAGCAAAAAACAGTTGGATTAGCAGAAGTCATGTCTACTCAGAATATCGACACGTCAGCTATTTCATTCAAAGGCTAACACGTTAAAACAGGGAAAACCTTCTATTGTTCTAGCTAGGAAACGCTTTTTGAAAGCTTTTCTTTTTTAAAACTAAACCCCAAACCCACTTTGTGGCAAGCTTCAGTATGTTTTTAAAAGCATTACGCAACACATTACAGAGTGTTTCTTTTGAATGAAAGTCATCTGAGGAATTAACTGTAAAACGAAAGGGGAATGAGTGGGATCCACACCACAAAGCTCTGCTGTCATTGATCAAACTGTGTTACTACCAGCTCTGAAGAGGAGATTTATCTCTAAGACAGGCTGCGCCCCCCAGGCCTTCGCCACGTAAAAGCGGGGCCCCTCGAAAAGGAAACTCTTCGCGGTTTAGCCGGAACAGAACCTCGACGGCAAAGATCGCTTAAAGACCCCCTCATCTTTAAAGTCAAAAGGCAGCG